AAGTACCTAAAGACAGCCTGACCTCACTGAATGAGTCTTGGAGGTAAGATCCAAGAAACTGCTGGATCAGAGAGCCCTGCCTCTCTTCCTAGGCAGCTGGTGTGCAGTGAATAAAGAACTGGGCACAGAGCCCCAGAGACCTGGGCTTTCACAAGTCACTTAACCTCCCTCTGTCTCAGTTGCCTCAACTGTAAAATGGGGACAATAATTGCACCTACCCAACAAGATCATTGTGAGGATCAAACAAGATAAAATTTGGGTTTTTTTTTTAATTTTTAAGAGCACTTTGCACAGAACCTGGCATATATTACATGCTATACAAATGCTTACTCTTTTTACCTCCTTAGGCATTTATTTGTGGAATTTGGTTCTGGGAGGAAGAGCCTGGTAATCAGGAGCACAAAAACAAAATCATTGTTTTGAAACTGATATTTCAAAAGTCTATTCTAGCATTAGTCCAAGATCTCTCTTCTAACAACTTATTCTTGGGTAGACAGCAATCATGGGGTTGACCCCTGGATGCTGTACTAGAAGCAATGTGGAAGGACAACAAAACAACCCTTCAAATATTTGAAAACAAAAGGCCCTATCATGGGCCTTCTCAGTGTTTTCCTCTAAACATTTCTTTCAACCAGGTCTTGGCATGAACTCAACGCCCTTCACCATGCCCGTCACCTTTGGCTTGATAATTTCCAATGTACGTGTGTCTTTCCTAAATGTGGTGTCTAGAATTAGACATAGTAAGACAGATGTGGTCTAGCCAGGGCACAGGACAACAGAACCTTTCCTCCCCCCTTCCCAAATGCTTTGTCCCTGTGAGCACAACCCAAGTTTGCATCAACTTTTCTGGTTGTCCTAACACACAACTGTCTCACATTACTCTGGAAGTAAGTTCACTAAGACTTCCAGACTTTTCTTTTAGATGAACTGTTATCCAGCTTGGGTTCCCCATCTCATAGGCTTGTAAAATAAAATGAAAGTAAAAGTAAAAATAAAAACCCACATGTTTTAGACAGTTTTGAATTCTAAATCTGTCATCTGCAGTATTAATTATCCCTCCCAGCCATGTGTCATACAAAAATCTGTTAACATGTCATTGATAACGATACGTGCTGTTTTTCCTACTAGAATGTAAACTCCCTGAGGGAAAAGGCTCAATATTTCGGCTTTTGATCAGCCTAAAAACTTACATTATCTAGGAATGAATGTCATACTTGATAAAAAATACTGGGAAAAGTAGACATAAGTCTAGCAGAAATAAGTCTTAGACCAGCAGCTCACACCATATTCCACAGTGAGTTCAAAATGGAGTGACCTGAATACTAAAGATCATATTTTTTTTTCAATTAAGGGAGAGAGAGAGAGAGAGAGAGAGAGAGAGAGAGAGAGAGAGAGAGAGAGAGAGAGAGAGAATTATATTTGTTTCAAAGACCTGGGTAGGGGATGAAATCTTAACCAAACAAGGGATAGAGGCAATTTCAAAAGACGAAATTGATCATTTTAACTGCATGAAACTGAAAAACTTCTGCACAAAATTAATGCATAAAGGACAGGAAGGGAAGCATTGTTTGGCCCACTACTGGTACTTTCCCTTCTGTCTCTGGAAGCAGAGGCCCAACTATTCCTTTTCAGAGATAGGACCTTTGAACAGAGAGATCGAAACAGCAGATTTTCTTTGACCAGCAGAGGGCACCAAATTCAAACAATTGTCCGCTAACGTAGCCTTTAAACATTCAGTGTAGGGTTTCCCAACCAGCTAAGGGCGCAGGACAAGAAAGATCAAGAATTCGAACTTCTGCTTTCTGTTGGGAATGGAATTTCGGTAAAATCATTAGCTGGAAGACATCCACCTCCTTCTCCCCACCTCCCAACCTCCTTCATCTAACTGAAAAGCCTCCCTCTTCTATCAGGAAAAGGCAGCAAAAGGGTGAAGCGAATGCGAGAGGAAAGCACAGTGCGCGTGGAGGCAGGAGAACCTAGGTCATTGCTGTGTGACCTCGGGCAGGTTACTTCTTTTCTCGGAGCCTCAGTTCCCTTATCTGTAAAACAAGATCTAACAGGCTGTGATTCTGTGGATGAAGCAGGGTATGGAAATAAAGGGAATCAGACAGGAGGGGAGGAGAGAGGGAAACGGCAGGGCAAAGAGGTGCTTTCTGGAAAGATGAAGGAAATCTCGGGGTAAAGCGGTTTTATAGACCTCACAGCCCGCAGCCCGGGTCTTTGACAAACCCCTTAATTTGTAGATTTTGTCCCAGAAGACACTAAGTCCGGGAGAAATGGGAGAATGAAAGCGGGGAGGGCAGGAAGGGGACTGGATAAAGAAATATTAAGCTTACTACTATCTGTGTGACCCTGGCAGGTCACTTAACCCCGATTGCCCCACAAAAAAAAAAGAAAAATAAAAAGAAGAAAGAAAGAAAGAAAGAAAGAAAGAAAGAAAGAAAGAAAGAAAGAAAGAAAGAAAGAAAGAAAGAAAGAAAGAAAGATTACGCCTGAGTCTTTCCTGCCTAATGACAAAGCTCAGTACCCCTCCCCCAGTTCCTCCCCAGCATTTATCCTTAGGCAAGAATTTATCTCAGCCCGGAAGACTCAGAAGCCGATGCCCAGTCTCTTGGATTCCAAGTCCAGCTCCATTCCTCAGAGGGTCCCGGAACCGTTTCACAGATCACCTCCCGTGTAGACGGGACTCGATCTCGCAAGGTTAGACAAGGAAAGATGCCTGGAGATAAATGTCTTACCCCTCAGTGAGGGGTGCTGTTACTAGGAACCAGTTGGGGTTCGCAGGTGCTTATCTATCACTATACAGCAAAGGTTCTTAACCTGAAGTCCAAGACCTTCTCCCTTCTCCATGGATGGATTTGAGGAAGTCCTTGAATTTAGGTGGGGATGGAGTGGGAAATCATATCTTTACATACAATTGGATTTCTTTGTAATTTTCTGTATTTTATTTGTGCATTTAAAAGCATGATTCCCAGAAGGGGTCCCTAGTCGTCATCAGACTGTCACAACCACAAGGACACAATAAAGGTTAAGCACCCCTTCTCTACACTTCCCCTCCTATCCCTGACTCCTGTAGCTCAGGGCTAAGAAAATTCCAAGATCCTCGGGATCTCAGGTCAGGCTATGGTCACAGGACCAGCCACAGACCGGGAAATTCCCCGGTTTAAAGGAAAGCATGAGTTTCTTTTTCCTGCAATAGGAGCCTTCCCTAACCAGACCGATCAGTAATCAGTGACGTTTCAGCATCTCGGAGTCTCGTTGGGTGAGGAGTATGCGTGGGTACAAACAGATCATTGTTAAATTAGAAACACCTCCTTTCCCCACTGTAGGATGTCTGCTCTGCCTCCTTGTTTTACTGGCTGTTTCAAAAGGACCAAAGCAAAATAACTGCCCAAGAGAAACAGCATGCTGTAAAGGCAAGATTTCTGGGCTGGTGTTCAGGAAATCTGAGGTCTAGTGCCCTTTCTGCCACCTTGCTGTGTGACTAGGGAATCAGTCATCTCCTCAGGCCTAAGTTTTCTTATCTGTCCTAAATAACATTTTAATACTTTGTAATTATATTGTAATTATAGCTCCATATGTATATATAAATACATTGAAATTATAATAGAGTATTCCATTACATTAACATGTCGCAATTTTTTCAACCATTCCCCAATTGGTAGGGCATCTCTTCTATTTCAAGTTCTTGCTACAACAAAAAAAGATAGTTACAAATGTTTTTGTACATAGACCTATTTCTCTTTCTTTGAGCTCTTTAGGCTAGGAGTGATGTTGCTAGTTGTTCAAAAGGTATGCACAGTTTAATGTTTTGTTGTTGTTTTTTCATAACAGTTCCAAATGGCTTTCCAGAGTGGCTGTATAACATTCAGCTACGTCAGCAGTGCATTCATGCCTACTTTGCCGCAGCCCCTCCAACATTCGTCATTTTCTTTTTCTGCCAACTTTGCCAGTGGGATGGATGAGCAATGGAACCACAGAATTGCTTTAATTTTAATTACTCCAATTAACAATAATTAGGAGTATTTTTCTTATGGCTATTGATAGCTTGGATTTCTTTAAAAATTACTCATTCATATCCCTTGACCATTTATCAGTTAGGGATAGCACTTAACTTTATGAATTTGAATCAGTTCTTTATAGATCTTGGAAATAAAACCCATCAGATAACACTGACATAACAATTTTCCCCAGTTACGTCCTTCTCTTTCTATTTTTACCTGCATAGATTTTTTATGTGAAAAAAACCTCTTAATTTTCTGTAATGAAAATTGTCTGTTTAACCTTCTGGGATCCTCTCTATCCACTGTTTAATCAGGAACCCTTCCACTTCCTGTAGGTCAGGAAGGTAATTTCTTCCTTATTCCTCTCCGTTTATGATGCCACCATTTATGTCTAAGCCATGGACTCATCTCAAGCTTATCTTGTTATACAGTGTGAGATGTTGGTCTAGTCCTAGTTTCTACCAGACCTTTCCCACTGTTTGTTGAAAAATTAGCTCTCCCTGCAGTAGCTGGGGTCTTTAGGTTTATCAAACACTCTGCTATACTGTTCATTGCTTCTACACGTTGCGTACCTAATCTGTTCCTCTGATGGAGCCAGTACAAAATTACCTCTGATGATTAAGGTTTTGCAGTATAGTTTGAGACCTGTTGCTACTAGGCTCACTTCCTTCCCACTTCCATGATTATTTCCCAAGGGGTTCTTGAGCCTTTATTTCTCAAGCCGAATTCTGTCTACATGGCTCAGATTCAACCCCATGTCAAGAAATTGCATAGCCAAGATGAGGGGGCAAAAGTAAGTTTTTGCCCTTGATCAGACCATTCTGAGAGCACTGAGAGCTTGCAGGACCCTGTCTTGAGTTGGCCCTGAGAACCTGGAATAAAAATAACACTTAATACCATAAGAAAGTTCCAGCAAGACCAGCTCAGCCCTTCCCTCCAGAAGTGTGCAGAGCCTAGCACTAACATCAAGTTAGTCCTCTCTTTCTCACCATCATGTTCATCCTTAGAAAAATGCTTTATTGACTGGCAGGCCCACACCCAGGTATGCAGAGCTCTGAACAGAAGCCGGGAAACAACATAGTCTCTTGAAAGGGATATCCCTGGGGGTACCTCTTGTCCAAGGCCCCATCATCTCCCCAGCTATAGTGACTATTGCACAGGCATTCGGGCTAGAGGCACTCAGAGCAAGGATTGCCCTGCATCCTAGAGACTCTGACCCAAACCCAATCGCAACCGTACATAAAAAGCTCTCCTTCCTCCAGGGACTCAGTCTTCAAGCTGTCGCTGCACCAGGCGATGATAGAGGCCTCTCTGGGCCATGAGCTCAGTGTGGGTCCCCTGCTCCACCACCTTCCCTTGCTCTAGCACCAGAATATGGTCAGCAGCCTGCACTGTCTGCGGGCGGTGTGCAATCACCAGTACTGTCCGACCCCCCTGCAGCATCTTCTCCTGAAGCTGAGGGTGAGAAGACTGGGCATTAGAGAAACAAACACTAAAACCTCCATGCCTACCCCAGCACTGCTTACTGCACCTAAGATAATAATGGAAATGCGGCATGTTAGTGGGTAGGGCAGGATTTGAAGGAAAAAAGGGAGGGAACCATGGAAACCCACCATTACCACCAATATCCAGTATCCACTTGTGCTCTGCCAAGTGGGATGTAGGATACTGAGAAGAGATACATGGGTAATTTCCCTACTATCTTCTTCATTCTCAGGGTCCATAATCATCCCAAATCGTGGAGACACCTGGCCCAGGAATGCTTTCCCCCATCTCCCTTGCCCCACACAGCCCCTGTCAGCTCTGCCTATCTATGACACCACCACCGTATGTGCCTCAGGCCCCGACCTCATTTGCCTCCAGAGTTCTGACTCTTCCCAGCACCTTTCCCTTACCTCCTGTTCACACTCCATGTCCAGGGCGCTGGTGGCCTCATCCAGAATGAGGACACGAGGATTCCTCACCAGGGCCCGAGCGATGGCCACACATTGCTTCTGTCCTGCAGACAACTGGCTTCCCTTTTCCCCCACAGCTGAAGAGACAGAGACAGGGTCCTGTGACTTCCACGTGGAGGAAACACTTTTGTCTCCATCCTTACCCTCCGCCATTTCCCCTTAGATCAGATTAAGAGAATCATAGGGATATATGCCCAGTGGTGCCATCCAGGGAGAGGCGGCATCACATTTCACACAGATCACATGGTCTTCTAGGCAAAAAGCCTGGATGAGTAGGCCCAAAGTACTTTTTTATAAAATAGAAGACCCAGGGTAGAGGGAAAAATAGGGAACAATGCCAATTTTAGAACTAGTATACCCAGGCACCCTGCTGACTTCATTAAGGAATGGTCAAGTTCTCTTTTATCTAGAAATTCATTGTTACAGTCTTGAAGATTGGTGAATTTACCTGTGTCCAGTCCATGCTCCATACTGGCAATGAATCCATCAGCATGGGCTGCCTGGGCAGCAGCCCTCACCTCATCATCCCCACAGTTCTCCAGCCCATAGGCAATGTTGTCCCTCACAGACCCTGAGAACAGCACAGGCTCCTGCCCAACCACAGACACCTAGTGCAAGAAGGGGACCCTGGGTGAGCTAAACCAGGACAGGGACCCAAGGCACCCTCCCCTACTCCATAGGTCTTCAGGAGAACAAATCTATTTCTCTCTTCCTTAGCCCTGCCCACCCTACTTCTCCCAGTGTTTCCTTCCTCAACTTCATCTCCCTCTCCTCCTCCTTATCTCTGGTCACCTGTGAGTGCAGGTATTGGTGCTGGTACTGAGCCAAGGGCTCCCCATCCAGCAGCAGCCGGCCCCCTGTGGGCTGATACAGATTCTGCAGCAATGCAGCCACTGAGCTCTTCCCAGCCCCATTGGGCCCTACTAGGGCTGTCACCTTCCCAGGGTACAGAGTGAATGTCACTCCCTGGAGGGGAAAGGGAAAGGAAGCAATAATCAGTGAGAGAAATGGGTGAAGACCTCCTCCCTCACCTTGAGGTAATCACCATCTTGTGACTCAGGAAAATCAGGATTAAAGACCAGGGTCAGCCCCACCACATAGAGAAAAGCTGAGGGCCACAAAACTGGATCCTGGGTTTCCTCCCAGTCACCTTGAGTACAGGCTTGGCTGGCTGGGTGGGATAAGCAAAGGAGACATCTTGGAATTCCACGAGGCCCTGCAGGGAAGAAGGGGCCAGTGTCCCAGGAGGAGGCATCTGTGGCTTACGTTCCAGGTATCGGAAAACTTTCTCTGCAGCACCCACATTGCTCACCATGTCCCCACAGATGTGCACAAGAGTCTAGAGAAATACAGTGATGCAGAGTCACAAATTAGAGTCACTGAGATCTAATTCTTTAATAACAGAGCTATAGAGCCACCACTGTTTCCTTACATAGAATCAGGCATATGGAAAAATCAGTCTTTCAAAACTTGGCATTCCACCCCCCACAACATCTGAAACTGAAATAAAGACAGAGCAAGAGTCTGTTGCCTTACCTGCATGTAATTCCCCACGTTCCCCTGATAGAGCAGAAAGGAGACAAGGCCTCCCCTTGTGAGCACCCCAGCCAAGATCTGCCTTAGCCCACAATTCAGCATTAACACTTGCATCCCCAGCTGAAGTCCCTGAGGGAGAAGAGGAAAATGGGCTGAGGATAAGGCTGGTCACCTCACCAGTGGTCCTTCTCCAACTCTTATCCCTATTCTTCTTACTACAAGCAGAGATCAGTGGTGATGAGAGTCATTGGGAAAGAAGGGACAAAAAGGTTAGGAGTTGAAGAGGTAAGATCACACATCAGAGATCAGAGGCTGAGAGCAGCATCACTTAGGGATATACTTACTATCTTTGAACCCCTTTGGCCTGGCTCACCCTCCTGAAGAGCAGATACACTGCCTGCTCCCAGTCTCGGTGCCACTCTAGCTGACGCTTGTGCTCCAAGGCTTTCTCATAGCGTTGGGCCTCATCCTCCTCTGCTCCAAAACTCCTCACAGTTTTCAGGCTTCCCACCGCCTCCCGCACTATCTGACCAGCCTCTGCCACAGCATCCTGGATCTGCTGTAGCAATGCCTGAGGAGAACGTATCAGAGGAAAGGCGAGTGAGGCAAGGGAGACCCCCTCCACACGCCCCAGAATCCTAGCTCCCATATTGGAGCCAACCTTCAACCTCAATCCCAGCTCTCTCTTTCCCCAACCTTTATCCCCACCCTTTCTTCCAAGGATCTATCCCACCAACACCAGTCTATGCCTCTCCCCTAAGCTGTGCTCCTGCCCCACATATACCTGGTATCGGACATTGTAGACCCTCTCAGTAGCCATTGAGAGGGGCACTTCAAGCATGGAGAGGAGTGTGAGTCGAGGTGAGAGACTGAACATGAAGCCATACAGCCCTATCACCTTTACCAAGCTCCGAAGGAACACATTGGCATTTAAAGGGAGCCAGCGGCTCATCAAGTTGGTATCTGAAGATAGGCGTGAGTTTAACTCCCCTGGGGAAGAAAGAATGAAGCTATGCTCCAGAATGGGACAGACAGACCTAGAAACCACAGTTGGGGAAGCTCACCCTCAAAACTCAAAGAACAGCTTCTATGCCCCTACCTCCTCCCCTCTGCTTGGGGAAAGAGACAAGGTCACCACAACCCACCCTGACAGGGACCCAGCTCAATGTGCATTCAACTACGGAAGGAGAGGGGTAGGGCATGAAAGGGACCCTGAGGGGTTAGGAAAACCCAGAGGAACCAAAGATCCAGGTCTAAACCCCACCTGTCTTGGTCTCCTGGAAGAAGCTGAGGTCCTGGCGGAGCAGAGAGGAAAAGAGCATACGTCGAATACGCAGGTTGTTTCGGGACATGACGAAGGTAAATAGGCCTCCTCGGCAGCCAGCAGATAATGAGCTGGGGAATGAGAAAGATGAAAGCATAAGAAGGAATATAGTTGGGGAAGAGTCAGCCTGAGGTGTCATAGGAAGAATGGATGAGGAAGAGAGGAGAAAGTCAATGGGGAAAGAGGGATATGGGTGAGGGAGAGACATAAAGAGGACACGAGAGAGGGAAACAAAGGGAAAATACCACCAGAAAGAATAGGTGCCAGAATGGATGGATGGGGATAGAGGGGAGACATGACAGAAGAAACCTAAGTGGAAGAGGGAGGGCAGTAGAACCCAATTCCACAGACATAGTGAGGACTTGTTTTGTGCACAGCTCTCCACCACAGGCTGTTGGGGCTATAGGAGAAGCGAAGAGCATGGTGTGATGAGATAGCACCATCAGAAAGGGAATAGGGATTCTGCCTCCCCCCAACAACTTATCTGATTATCTCACCTAGACTCTCACTCTCTGCCCCAATTTTTCTGGTGCTTTCTGAATTCTAGAGTTGGTTCATTCACTGCCAGAACGTCCCTAAGGATTCCTCTCTATCTTCACAAAGGGAACAAATCCCTTTTCCCACTAGTTCAGCAAAGACATGGAAGATTTTCACAGGAAGTAATGATAATAAAAGCCAGTATTTATATAGCACTTACTCTGAGTGAGGAACTATGTTAAGTACTTCAACAAATATCTCATTTGATCCTCAACACAATCCTAGGAGGTAGATGTTATTATCTCCATTTTACAGTTGAGGAAACTGAGGCAAACAGAGGTTAAGTGACTTGCCCAAGGCCACACAGCTAGTAAGTAAGTATATGAAGCTGCATTTAAACTTAGGTCTTCCTGACCCCAGGTTCACTTCTCTGTTCACTGCACTACGTAGCTATCTCTAAGCCTTTACTGAGATGCTAAAAGAAAATAAAACTAAATGCCAAAAAAAAAAAAGAAAGAAAGAAAGTACAGAATGGGATGAGTTCTGCAAAATGAAGCTCCTATGAACTAACCTCAATTCAAATCCCACCACAAAGCTAGACTGCTTGATAGAGCTAAGAGGACATGTATCTCCAAGTCCTATTCTTTCACCTCAATCTTGTTTGAGAGGTTGAAAACCTACCCAGAGCCCTCTTTGCAGAGTGTAGGCTTTTTCCCCTCTTATGAGCATGAATAGTCAAGTGACAGCATTACACTATTTTCTGGCTAATAGGTCAGCCTCCCACCAGTATGGAAACCTTCACATACCAAGAGCTACACACTTTCACGAACAATTCTCAGAAATGATACCCACACTGAATAGGGACGTTCTTCTCTCTTCTGAAAGGCAAAGGGTCATGCTACCACCAGAGAGAAGTTATTCCTACCTTTAAGGACTTATCAATTTATTTATGAACTTGTCAAACAGTTAGGATACAGTACAAATCATATACAAAGTAGTACAAAAATTCAATAGATAGAAGTGATGCAGGATTTGAGAGAAGAGGGTGGTCAGGATAGTAGGAACGATTTTATAGGAAACAATTTTGTCTTGAGGTGGTTAGGATTTACACAGGTTGAGAGAAGGTGGGAGGGCATCTAAAGGAGGGACAAAAGAATAGCGTGAATGAAGAACCTAAGAGCCTTGGGAAGAGCTTTATCTCTCAACACAAGACCAGCTTCCCTGAATCCATTAATGAAGAGAGAAATCATCATGGAGATAGGGACATGTTCCTCAACACAACTCACAATGACAGCTGACCATCTGCCATCAGATAAGCATAGAAACTGTGGAATTGGCATCAGATCCCTGACCACCAGCCCTGATTCTAGGCCAGTCACTGTGGGCATCATTTGGGGAGACAACTCCTGAAGAGAAGGGGCCAGACACAACTGCCACTCACAGACTAAGCTAACCTTGCTGAGACAGCAAGGCACACTGAGGGGGGGGGAGAAAGAGAGAAAGGCTGGGGGAGAGAAAGGTGGGGGGGAGAGAGGAGAAAGAGGAGAGAGAGAGAGAGAGAGAGAGAGAGAGAGAGAGAGAGAGAGAGAGAGAGAGAGAGAGAGAGAGAGAGAGAGAGATGACAGCATATGTTAGGGAAGTCAAAATACCACATTACCACTATTTCCACTCAGACCCTGATGGAGATAATCTTGAACACAAGAATGTTGGAAATAACAATGCTTCTAGCTCAGTGCCCTCAGGGATTATCCTGGATAGCAACTCCTGTGGAGATACAGCCTGGCAACTGTTCCTGCAGGTCCTATAGCCACACACTAATAAAGACTCAAAAGCAAATATCCTTGACCCCAAAGTCTTTGGCACTCTCAGATGATTCGATAGCAGAAGCTGAAAATTTTCAGTGGAAATGACATTAAAGAGACATTACTATCTGCTTTACAGCTGCACCCTAAGGACCTTTCCCTCTGATTTGCAGCTGAAACCTTCTGTACCTGTTGATTCTCCCATTAGAAGGTGAGTTATTTGAGTGAAAGGACTCTCACTCTTCTATCTGTATCCCCATTGCTTAGCACAGTGCTTCTCACTTCTCACAGAAAGAAGGAATGGAAACCAGAAATGTTAATGATAGAAATGGAAGGAATCAGAATATGATCAGAGTAGCAAAAAATGTCCTGAAGTTTTGATATTCAGTGAATAGAATTCTGATGCCATAGACAAGGAAGTAGAGGTTGAAGTAGGGTGGTGGGATGTGCGGGTGGTAATAAGTCTGTTGTAGGCAGTCTGAGAAGACTATGATGAAATTAATTTCGGAATGATTTCCAGAAGTGAATCTAAAATGGTGGAGAGAAAGCACTCAGCTGAGTCCTCCCAGCATCCTCCTCCAAATAACTTTAAAAATAACACCTAAAATCGAATTCCGAAGTGGCAGAATCACCAAAACATCGAAGTGAGACATTCTTCCAGCCCAAGACAACATAGGAAGTCAGAAAGAGATCTGTGACAGGGGCAGGAGACTGACTCAGAACCCATGTGCATGAAACACTAGTGGTGGGACTAGGTGGTGATGACATAAACATTAGCAATTTGGCGAACTCTTTGTTTGTTTGTTTTGGTTTTGGTTTTGGTTTTTTTAGGCAATTGGGGTTAAGTGACTTGCCCACGGTCAAGTGTTTGGTCTGAGGCCGAATTTGAACTCAAGTACTCCTGACTTCAGAGCCAGTGCTAATTTTGGGAACTCTTAAGCCAGTAACAGTAAGGTGATAGGGCAACGGGTCAGAAAAAAATTATAGGAGACCGACCCCTGTGCTAGCACTAGACATAGGATAAGATGCTGTTTGGTAACTCCATTGCCTATACCCACTTCTGAGTTCAAGGGTAGAAAGGAGCACTTTTAGTCAAGAGGGAATAGAAAGTCCTGAAAGTATCACTTCTGGTCCCAAGGGACTTGGGATCCTGAGGAACAGTGTTATTTCTGAAACCAAGGGAGCAGGGGACCCTGAAGAGCAGTGTTGATTGTAATCCCAGGGATCAAACGCCCTTCCTAGGTAAGAACCACAGTGTACACAAGAAGAATGAATGTATTTTTGGTGGAGTTGTGAAATGATCCAACCATTTTGGAGAGCAATTTGGAACTATGCCCAAAGGGCTGTAAAAATGTGCATACCATTTGACCCTGCAACAGCACTTCTAGGGCTGTATCCCAATGAGATCATAAAAATAGGAAAAGGACCCACATGTACAAAAACACTTATAGCAGCTCTTGTTGTGGTGACAAAGAATTGAAAATTGAGGGGATGCCCATCAATTGAGGAATGGCTGAACAAGTCGTGGTATATGAATGCAATGGAATACTATTGTACTATAAGAAATGATGAGCAGGCAGACTTCAGAAAAACCTGGAAAGACTTACATGAATTGAAGGTGAGTGAAGTGAGTAGAACCAGGCAAACACTGTACAGGGTAACAGCCATGTTGTGCGGTGACTAACTTTGATAGACTTAGCCCTTCTCAGAAATGAAGGATCTAAGACATCTCCAAAAGTCTCATGATGGAAAATGCTATCCACATCCAAAGAAAGAACTATGGAGTTTGAATGCAGATTGAAGCAAATTATTTGCTCTTCTTTTTTCTTCTGTTTTGTTTTGTTTCCTCCTTCTTGTGGTTCCTTCTATTGGTTCTAATTTTTCCTTACAATATGACTAATATGAAAATATGTTTAATAAAAATGTATTGTATAGCCTATGTCAGATTGCATGCTATCTTGGGAAGGAAGGTGGGGAGGGAGAATGAGAAAAAATTAAAACTCAAAAGATCATGAAAGTGATTGTTGATAAATCAAAATAAATTAATTTTTAAAAAAGAGTGACCACACCTTTACCAAGACTACACTACCTTGGAAGCACCAAAAACTTCCAAATACCCAGAACTAGCTCTAAAAACAGCAGTGTGGAAAGGTCTGAAGCTTAAGAGAGTACTCTTTCACTCCCACACTTAGGACAAAACCAATATTAACATAAATGTTAATATTAACACATTATATTAACATAACATAATATTAATAATATTAATCTAAAAATCAAGCAATAGAGTGGAAAGATGAGCAAACAACAAAAAAGAACCTAACCAAAAAATCTACTATGATGACAGGGATAACCAAGACACAAACTCAAAAGAAGATAATGAATTCAAAAGGTCTACAAGCAAAGCCTCAAAGAAAATTTTGAATTGGACACAAAGCCAACAAGAATTCCTGGAAAAAGGGTTTGTTTGGTTTTTTAATTATTTTAAAAATCAAATAAGAGCAGGAGAAAAAAATAGGTTAAAATGAAAAGGAAGAAAAATATGAAAAGACAAAAAAAAAAACTTGGACTTTTACCACAAAAAAAAAAATACTAAAGAAAATAACACCTTAAAAAAAAAAACAGAAAAAAAAGAGATACAAAAATATACTGATGAAAACAACTCCTCAAAAAACAGAATTGGCCAAATAGAAAAAAGATACAAAAGCAATTAATTAAGAAGAAATTAATTCCTTAAAAATTAGAATTGCACAAGTAGAAGCTAATGACTCTATGAGACATCAAGAAACCATGGA